GTGGCCATTTTATGTGTTTAGATACTGCCTAGGGCCTAAAGACTTGAAGAATACTTGACAAGAATAGGGAGTAAATATTATCTTAGTATTAACAAATACTATCTTTTTTTTTTTCTGGAGAGCTTTTTTGCTATAGGGCGTGTGCGCTCACCGGAAAGACAGAGAAACAGAAAGACAGAAAATGAGAAATCAGGCCCCAGAGAGGATAGTCACGCCACAGTCCCTTCTCCTCCATTATCCTCTAGGGATCTTGGGCATGCACGCACCCGCATCCAGTGTGAATTTAAGCTGCTGGGTCTGGGACTCGAACCATGGTTGACTACATGGGAGTCCAGCGATATAGCCATTACTCCAACTGCAGGCCCCAGTAAATACTACCTTAATGAATCATAAAATGAGTGAATTTCCATGTTCCTTTCCAGTACTGTATAAGAATGATGTGATTGCTAGGCTACAATTTTTTTTAAATTATTTATTTAATTTTTTAGGGTTATTATTATTATTATTACTATTACTTATACATTCAGTCACTGTACATCATTTAGATTGTAAAGAGACTTTACCCAGCATGATATACACCTCAGACCTGTCCAGTTGAGAGTACTATACACATCATCATCAAGAGGTAATAAACCATATCTGTGTCCCACAAATGTCTTACCTTTCTATTTTTCCTCCAAGTTTCCTTTCCTATACTCTTCCCCTCTCTCACTCCCCTTCCACTTTGTCCCTAGTGTCCATAACAATTTTCAATGCTTTTAAGCCCTCCAGCCTTTTAGTCTCTACAAGAAGTTGTGGACAGTCAGTGTATATTAAGTGGAGACATGCAATATTTCTGTTTCATAGCCTGATTTGCTTCACCCAGCAATAAATCTTCCATATTCATCCACTTTCTATCAAATTCCAGGGTCTTGTTGTTTTTTATGACTGAATAGTATTTCATGTAGTATATGTGACATACGATTTCAATCCATTCATCTGTTTGTGGACATTTGGGTTGGCTTCATGTCTTAGTAATCCAAGGAAATCAAAGACCTCTATAAGGAAAACTATGAAAATCTTCAAAAAGAAATTTAAAAATGACACAAAAAAGTGGAAGGACCGCCCATATTCCCAGATTGAGAGAATTAATATAATCAAAATGAAAATCCTAGTCAAATTAATCTACATATTTAATGCAATCCCTATAAAATTATGAGAGACAGTCTTCACTGATCTAGAAAAAACAATCATAGAATTCATCTGGAACCATAAAAGACCCTGTACTGCCAAAGCAGTCCTACGCAAGAAGAGTGGAGTGGGTGGTATCTCACTTCCTGACCCCAAAATATATCACAAATCTGTGATAATCAAAACAGCATGGTATTTATTTCACTTTATTAATTTACTGCTATTATTATTTAATTTGACCAGAGAGAGATAGAGAGGGGTAAGTGTGAAAGCAAACTGCCCTGTTTGGATCTCAGACCACAGTCAGCCATATGGGAGTCCAACACCTTCACCAACATGTGCCACCTGCCAGCCCTGATAGGCTAATTTTTTTTAACAGTTTTCTTGAGATATTGACATATAAAAATTATCTATATTTAACATGTACAGCTTCACTTTTTAAAATATAATTTTATTATTATTATTTTTAGTTTGCTGGACACATGTACTCCCCAAAGAGAGAGAGAGAAAGAGAGAGAAAACAAACTTCCAGCTCTAACTCAAACCACGGTAGGCCATGCAAAGTCTAGTCCCTTAATCACCACCTACTGGCCCCCAGCTTCACATTTTGATATGCACACACCTTGTAATAAATCAAGATAATGAACATACCCAATCTTTAGTAACTTCCTTCTAACGTTTTTTTAAAATTCTGAATTAAAATTTTACTCTTGACACTAAAACATAGAAAGCTCATCTTGAATTTTGCCATTTATTAAGCTCTTAGGGTCTTAAGATAATTTCCTTTGAATAACACTAATCTTAGATCATATCTTCGGCATTTTGTTTCTTTTTTATTATTTATCTTAATTTTATTTATTATTATTAATATTATATAATTTGTTATAGGGCACATGAGCTCACCAGAGAGGGAGACAGAGAGAAAGAGAAAGCGAGAAAGCAAACCACTAGGTCTGGGGCTCAAACCATGGTCTGCTATGTGGGAGTCCAACACCTTAGCCATTACACTGCCATATTTTGATTCTTACACTGTATTAGATTGCATCTCTTTGTCTACATGTATGCCAGACATTGGAATCAAAGAATAAATGAATATTCTTTGTTTTATCTATGAATGAATTTGCTGTGGCACATGCTAGGTTCTTAATAAAAATATTAAATTAATAAAGGAACATAAAAATGTATACAGATTTGAGACCAGCAGATGGCATAATGGTTACCTCACTGGACTCCCACAAAGTCTACCACAGTTCGAGTCCCACTCACGCTGGGTGCATTGTGTGCATGCTCAAAATCCCAAGAGGAGAATGGAAGAGAAGGGATTTTGGCATGGCTGGCCTTTCTGGGGAAGAGTATTTCTCTCTGTCTCTCCAGTAAGCACACATACTCTATAGCAAAAATCTCTCTCTCTCTAGAAAAAAAAAGTGTAAAAGTATACAGAATTGAACAGAAATCTGTCCTGCTTTATTATTCTCTAACTTGTAAATTATAAAATTGTAATGACGAACTCTCTTGGATATCTATGTAGTGTATAGGCAACTAGGGTTGGAATCAGTCTCTAATTTATGATCCTAATTCTGCCCTTAACTTTCAATTTTGTATGTTTGATAAGTCACTTAGCCATTTTAGGTCATAATTACTATATGGAAATACCCCTATTACATTAACTCCCCCCCGAAAAAAGAGGAATGAAGAAACAAGTGTCAAATAGTTTTTAAAACTTAGACATATGCTATAAATAATAACAGTGTCATGTTAAAAATAATTTCTAAATATTTAAAATTATTTGAGCCTCATTAAAGAAAACTGTAGAGGGGGACCAGCAGATGGCATAGTTACATTGCTGGATTCCCACATGACTGACCATGGTTTGAGTCCCGGACACAGTGGCTTGAAAATTACGCAGGGTACATGTAGGTGAGTGCCCAAGATCCCAGGAGGAGAGAGGATTGTGGCATGACCATCCCCCTTGGGGAGTGATTTTCCACTTTCTCTCATTGTCTTTGTCTCTCTCTCTCTCTCTGGTGAATGCACATGCCCTAAGGCAAAACCCACTTTAATACCAAACCAAACCAAACTATAGAAGGCCACCAGGTGATGTAGTGGTTAAGGCACTAGATCCCACATGGCTGACTACATACTTCAAGTCTCAGACTTGAGACCTTGAAAAACATGCTGGGCACATATGTGTGAATGCCCAAGATCCTGAGAGAAGAATGGAAGAGAAGGGCTTGTAGCGTGGTCATACCCTCTGGGGGGTGATTTCTCACTTTCCCTCTCTGTCTCTCTCCAGTCAGGGTACATGCCCTATGGCAAAAACAAAACAAAAGCAAAACAAAATCACTCCCCCCCCCAACTATATAATAATGACACTACCATTTTTTCCGTGGGTAAGGAAGTAATGAGTATGTCTGGCTCATATAAAGCACTTAGTAAGTTATAATTTTTATATGAGCTATTTCATATCCTGTTCTTCCAAACTTCAAATTAAATTTTTCTTTCTCTCAGTTACCATTCTCAGGGAAGGTTTCTGCTTTTAACATATGTCGGGTGCTCACAATTTTCTTTTCATCCCAGAGAAACAAATTGCCTTTTTTCTCACTTGCTTGCTTATTTCCTTTCTTCCTCCATTCCTTCCTTTTTAAAAAATTTGTCAGAAGTCACGTGCGCTTGCTAGAGAGAGAAGGTGAGAGAGGGAAAGTGAGAAAGCACCCACCATGTGGGATGCTCATGCTGCAATCCCTTCTTCTTCATATACAAACACATGCCTGACATGATTTTCAAGCTTCTAGGTCTGGGATTTGGACAACACTGTCAGCCATGTGGGACCTAGCTGCCTTAACCATCATGCCACCAGCTAGTCCCAAACTACCTTCTTTTAGAATATTATAAAACCTTGAGTATGTCCTTTTCATCTAAAATGCTATTAATATCTACATCGTTCTAAATACCCCTTCTATATACAGGTCCCCACATGAAATCCATCTTCCCCTTTGTCTTACTCCATTTTGTTATCACTCTCTTTCAAAGTGTCTTTCTTTTCTTTGGGGGAGGCGTGATACTTTTATTGTAGAACTAACGGTGGAGGGAGAAAGGTTATTTATTAGCAAGTAGATGACACAAAAACTGATCAATTATTTTATTTTTTAGCTTCTTGTATACACACACACAACTGTACACACACACACACACACACACATATTTTAATATATGTATGTATTTTTCTTTAAATTTTTTAAAAAATTAAGACAGGGTCTTGCTTTCACAATCCTCCTTCAGTCTCCCTTCTGGGACTAGAAGAACATGCCACCATGCCTGACTCTTTTTCAGATGAGGTCTTGCTATGTTGCCCAAGACAGCATACAATTTTTCTGACTCAGCCTCCATGTTGATGGGATTAGAGGTCCACACCATAATGTCCTATCCTGAAGTCTGGATTGAGAATCAAATACAGAGTTCCCATGTGGTTCCTACCAGCAGAGCATGACATTTTTTCTTTTTTAAAGAGAGATTTTTACTGTAGAATGTGTGTGCTCACCCAAAAGACAGAGAGAGACTGAGAAACACAGAAAGTGAGAAATCATTCCCCTGGGGGATGGTCACTCCGCAATCCCTTCTCCTTTGTTATCCTCTTGGGATTTTGGTCACACATGTGCCTGTGTCCAGCACACACCACCTGACTGGGTCTTGGTTCTGATATTTTAATAGACAAAGAAGGCCAGATACCACAGCAGAAACATATAATACCCATAGCACTCAGAGCACTCATTCTACAAAGAGAACCTGAGAACCTGAAGAATGCAAAAGAAGAAATAAATTTGCTTACTCACAAGGATATAACTCAAAGAATCTGTCCTTATGTGTTGACGTGGTGGTGTTGAGCCGCTGTTGAAGATTCTGATCTGTTTCATAGTGAATAAATAATCCAAACAAAATTATCATGGCAACCTGTAGGCTTAGAGCCATGAGAGGGAATTTGAACCTCATGTTGTGGCGAAGGACAGAGGCACACTGAGGACCTTGCAGCTGTGAGAGGTTGATAAGTACAGAGGGCTGCTATGTGTCAGGAATGGGGCTGCATGTTCAAGGCACCCTGATGACATCACAAGAAAAAAAAAATGAGTGAGACTGGTTAATGCCCCACCCACGGCAGAAAATGATCCTTCTTAATCTAAATATTGTAAATGCTGGTTTGAAGCATACAGAATGTGGAGTGGGAGAAGCCAGATGATGGAAATGACCTACTGGAGAAGTGTCCAGAATCCTATTGTACTTCATTTAGTGGGTATGCTAGGCTGTATAAGAGCCACAAATCTAAACAAAATACAGAAAGGGCCTGTTACCTTTTTAAAGGAAGTTAAGAATCTACTTGGAAAGGGACCAGCAGTTAGCGTAATGGCTATGTCGCTGGACTCCCACATAGTCGACTGCAGTTCGGACCCGGTGGCTTAAAACTCACACCCGGCGCGTGTGCGTGCGTGCCCAAGATCCCGAGAGGAGAATGGAGGAGAAGGGATTGCGTGGCCATCCCCCCTGGGGGCTGATTTCTCACTTTCTGTCTCTCTCTGTCTGTCTGGCGAGTGCACGCGCCCTATAGGGAAAAACCTCTCCAAAAAAAAAAAAAAAAAAGAATCTACTTGGAAAGACAGAAATACAAACAAATGAGTTTATGGAAACAGTTAATATGAGTGTTTATCAAAGTATTGGAAAACAAGTAAGACAGCAATATATTTTGCCTTGGGCCAAGAGCACTAGCATGTGGAATGACATTGATATGGGCACTGAAAAATAGACTTCACCAGTGAAATTGATAGAGGGAACAGCATCAGGCTTGCAAGGACAGGACATGTTGGAGGAATAGTGAGTGAAGTAAAGCTTTACTCAGTACAATACAGGAGAGAGGGGGTGAGTGGGAGGTGGAGATAAAGCTGCAAAGGTAGTTGAGCTGATTTGTAAAGGGCATTGCATTCAATAAGAAAGATGCTAGAGGGTGAATATGATCCCATGGGCAATGGGGGGCACGTGGCACTAAAAGAAGCAGGCTTGATTATTTAAGATAAAGTTTTTCTTGACTCCTTATTCTGATTTACACAAACATAAATATATAAGTACACAGATGTGATAGGAGATATGTTTTAGTCTTGAAAAAGAAGAGTGAGCTGAAACAGGGGCATAGCTAATCGACTCTCCTGGCAGAGTCAGGGTAAATAAGCTGCTGAGCAATTCAAAACCACCATGTGGATGGAGTTCTGGCTTCTGTCCTGAAATTATTCTTGTAGCAGAAGAGGCCTGTTTTTGAGAACTTAGAATTAGCAGTAAAATCCTCTTTTTGTAGCTGCTCTGAGATACATCGGAAGCTGTGGTTAGTCACATTCTCCCTGCTGCATTTTCTAACACTAGACATCCCTCATCTTATTTATCTGTGAGTTTGCTTATTTTTATTAGCAAGCAATGACTGAAATAGGACCACCACTACTTTTAAATGGTGGTCTAGCTGCACTCAACATTATCTCAGAGAATTCTGACACTGAGCAGGGTGCAGGCCAGAGGAACCAGCACTGGTGTTCGGAAAGCAGCTGTCCGAGGCATAGGCCTTTGTCTTAAACTGGGGGGTCTTAACATTTTTTGAACTATGGACACTTGGGAAGTTTACTGAAGCCTCTGAATCTCATCTTAAAATATATTTTAAGTGCACTAAATAAAATATATAGAACTATTGAAATCAGTTATATAGAAGCACATTGATCAAAATATAATAAAACACAAATGTCAGCTCTGGGGACTTCTTCATAATACATAAAACAAGAAGATCTAGTGGAATTTCTAATAGGATCTTAATTTCAAAATAAGAGTAGTAAGTATAAACAATTTGTTGGGGTACCCCAAACAGGTAAACGAAGAGAGAAAATTATTTGTGATTTCTGTTGATAGATGATCCTATTGTGCATTTACTGAACTCACAATGGAAAGGAAATCTAAATCTCAGTCAATTGCACTTTTTCCCTTATTCAAAAATTTGGACCACCTAAATTCTATTCACAGAAATTCAGGCTAAAAGAGCCTGTTTTAACTTTGGTCAGCAGCCTAACTTTTCCTTTTCTCAATCTTAGGAGTTTCCTTATCATTTCTTATCCTTGGCAATTCTCCTAAGCACCTTAGTTTATACCAATGGATCTCTGTAACTCTGAATCCCAAGGAGTTGAGAGATATCAATCAAACATTTTCCCAACAGGCCAGCTGGCAGCTTGTTGGTTAAGGTGACTGATTCCACGTGGTCAACTAGGCAATTCTAGTACCAGATCTGGCCGCTTGAAAAACACACTGGGCTTGTGTGCCCCAAACTGCACAAAAAGGAGAGATGGAGGAGAAGGGATTGTGGTGTGATCATCCCCTATGGAGGGGACTATCTCCTCCTTCTTTGCCCACACCCCTCTCTTGCTGTCTCTCTCTGGTGAGCACATGTGCCCTCCGATGAATTAAGAAACAAAAGAAGTCTTCCCAGGTGACCCTGTATTCAACAGCTCAGTTTCAACAAGCGGACTTCTATAAGTCAACTCTACACCTCTCACATGATCACATGTGTATAAAAAGACTGAAAGATTTTTAGGTAATCCTTAGCAAGGGCAATAAAACTAACTTCTCCAAGTTAAAAGAGAACTCCATAGACAGATAATAAACTTGAGGCTCAGAGGGTAAGCAACTTGTTCAAAGTTGTGCAGTGATTAGAGGGCAGAGTCAGGGCATAGATATGTCTACTTCCCTAAATTTAACATTTTTCAGTTGTACTCTATTTTTCTATATTAGAAAACTTAGCTCACAGGTACCAAAAATATGAAAGAAACTTCTGAAGCATCACAGGAAAATAATTTTCTTAAAGTTTTTTTTTTCTTTTTTCTTTTTTTGCTGTAAGGTGCATGTGCTCACCAGAGAAAGATGGAGAGACAGTAAGAGGGAAAGTGAGAAATGTCCATGCTGCCATCCCTTCCCCTCCATTCTCCTCATGGGATTTTGAGCATGCTTGGACACGTGATTGGCGTGACTTTCAAGCCACTGGATCTGGAACTTGAACCATGGTCGGCCATTTGGGAATCAAGCACCTTAACCACTCTGCTACTTGCTGGCCCTCCCTGGAAAAGAATTTTTAATTTTAGTGCTATTATATGTTTGTTGTTTTTATTTTACCTGAATTTGGAAAGTATTATCAGATGAAGATAGATGTCAACTTTCCTACTCGGAGTACTATATTTCCCCAGTATGAAAGAGCCACACTGTAGACAAACTTCAGTGACTCCACATAATTGTTACTGAATAGATGTTTTCAGATTTTGGCTATATCACAGAATCCTAAAATCAATGTGAGCTCTAACCTTTGCAGACTGAAGAAATCGTTGTTCTATGTAGTTTACAAATGAAAGAATACGTAAATGATGTTTCTATCTTCTTGAAGACTATTACATATAAACATGTATGTTATATACTTAAAATATAATTATAGGGACCAGTGGATGGCATAATGATTATGTTGCTGGACTCCCATGTAGTCAACCGCAGTTTGAGTTCAGACCCAGCAGCTCTGGGTGTGTATGAGTGAATGGCCAAGATCCCAAGAGGAGAATAGAGGTGAAGGGATTGTGGTGTGGCATCCTCCATGGGGGTGGTTTTCACTTTCTGTCTTTCTGTCTCTCCTGCAAGCGCATGGCCCTTATAGCAAAAATCTCTCTCTAAATTATATATATGTGTTTGTGTGTGTGTGTGTGCGCACGCAATTTTTCTCTGAAAAGAGTGAAGATTATTATCATGGGTTAACTTTCACATGTGTATTAAGTGGACAAATGTCATCAACCAATCTAATGATCAGCCACAAAGAATTTTCAAATCTGATTGCCACCACGTGCAAATGTTGACCTAGAATTTACACGCTACGAAAGTATACCCTCTTTGAATGGGTCACTCCTTACTAGTCACACTTCTATAATTTTCTCACCTATAGTAAGAGTGGGACAGAGACTTGAAAGTATCAGAATTGCTAAAAGTGACTGCTTCATTAAACAAACGAAGAATGTTTTCTTCTTTACTTTCTATCATCTGGGTCTAGTATTCTTACTGAAAAAAAAGGATCTATTTAATAACTTTGTATTAAATTTTCTTACCTTTAAAATTTACATTTAATCGCTATTCATCTTTGCAGTGTACAAAATGCTTTTTCTCAGCATGAATACAGTGTGTATCAATCAAGTCAAATATATTACTATATATGTTAACTTATTGATTGGAAAGCACAGGTAACTGTATGAATTACTTGGATAGATGATTTATATTATATGGTTAACCAAAACCCCAACAAATTCCTGGTGTAAGAGTTAGGATGCCTAAACAACAGTGTTCACATCATGTTTTGCTATTATCTTTAATCACTTTTGCTAGATTTAAATATCCTATGGGAGATGGATGCTTTATTCATTTTTCTGGCTTATTACACAGTGGAAAATACTTTTACAGATTTTATTTATTAAAAATACCTTTGCTGAGATATAATACATGGGTCAGCCCTGTAGCACAGCAGGTAAGTGTGGTACATTGGGAGACAGATTCCACGTGGCCAACTATGGTTCAGATCCCGGCTCTGTGGCTTGAAAAATATGCGAGGCATGTGAGCATGCCTACCCCAAATCCTGATGAGGTGGTGACAGAGAGGAAAACATATTGAGATTGGACATGCCCTATTGGCTTTCTCTCTCTCTCTTTGGTGAGCACACATACCTTATTATGACAATTAAAGGAAAAATATATTTTTAAAAAGATATCATACACATTCTATACAATTCACCCACTTAAAGTCTACAATTCAATAACCACAGATATGTCCAACCATCACCACAGTCAAGTGTAGAACATTTTCATCACCTAAAAGGGAACACGTATCTAGGACCAGCAGATGGTCAGTTTTCTTTAATGTTAGCATCTAAAACATCCATAGAACAGTATAATGTTAAAACTATAGTTACCATTAGTATAATACTACAAACTAAACTCCAGACTTTTTTTGTGTCAGAGT